AAAATATATATGTATATAATACACACAACTGAGCATTAAATACCGTGCAAAGTGTTTATTACGGCATTTGGTACACGTTCACATACATGAATACTTACTCGTATACGCATATATATGTATGTGGGGGTATACTGATTTACCGCGCTCTACATATGTAGTCTGTAAGGAAAATCTAAACTAGTTTGGTAAAATACTAGTTATGAAGTGGGGCTCAATTGGTTGAAACTATACCAGTTCACTTCAGCAATTATAATATATGTGAAAAGCTGTACTTTTTAGCCACACATTAAAACAATAACAACTCATCATTTTGATGAGCAATTTTTTATATTTAAGAAGCATCATTTTATTGTATGTAATTGAACTAGTATTTTACTAGTATATAACTAGTAGTGTATGATCGAACTGACTTTTTTTGTTGATTTGCCAACTTGCTATGTACAATATTAAAAAATATATACAATACTAATATTGAAGTAATCGCATACCAGTTCATAACTAGTCACTCACACTGCAGGGTATGCACGTTGTTTCAAGCTTTTGTTGTGGATTATTCTTTGCACTTTAAAGCACATGTATGTATATACATATGTATATAGTCAAGTATATATATACATGTAGATACGTACCATACCACCATACATACCATAACCATTAAAAGCCTCTAAGGCATTGAACCGTGAAATGTGTACGCGTGTGAATTTTCAAATTAATACTATTTACGCGCAGCAAATGTTTAATGTAAATAAATAATATTCCAGATATGTAGAAGAATCCCTTTTTTAAAATAAAGGGTAATGAGAGGGTATATTCTTCAGGTTTTAAAATTTTTAAATTATTAAATTAGTAATTTTTTGAGTAATATTCAGTTCAGCTGGATGTGAGTCCTAATTATCTCCAGTAAATATAAACGAATTAAATTAGAATTAAAATACACTTCATCTGTATTCAGAGTATAAAAAGCAGTGAGATAAATGATTGGAAAACCTCACACAGTCCATGAGTTGCTTTTCTTATTAATACGAATCCAATGATTATTCTTCTCCCATCCAACCGCCTATTAGAACAATTAAAACTTAATTGTTGAGCAAAGTGGTACATATATATATTTAGCGCTGTAGCGAATTTCAACCCTGCCGAAAGGCAACAGACCGAACTAAAGGTTCATTTAGTTTAAAATTATTTTTTTTTTACTTTAACAACAGAGCTTTAAGGAGCCTAGATAGAAGAGCTCGTACATTAGTACATCCACTTCCCGGCATAAAATTTACTCAAAATCGATTCAGCTGTTTAGAAGTAGAGCAAAGACACTGTTTTTTTTTTTCAAAATAATACCAAAAGTGAAGGTATGGGCAAACACAAACGGCTTTGATCAGAGGGTCATATACATCTTTGCGGTGGCTCAAATTCAACGAAAAAGTGGGATGTTGAATCCACTTTTCGTTGCTCTCAATAAATATGAGCATGAAACTACCAGACCTCTGCTGCGTCTTCCAAGCAGACTTCTTTGAAGTCATGAAAGCCCGGCGGATTCAAATCTATGCCTATAATTCTAGATCAGTGCTCCATTAGTTATAACGACAGATGTAATAATAGGTCACTAAATAATGAGGCTTCACAGAAAAAGTTTAAGCTCTTACTCTTATAATTTTTGCCGCAGCTGTTTGTCGGGAATTACTACTTTGACTGTCTCGCTAAGTTTCAAAGATGATGAGTCTTACGGACGGTTTATGTGGTGACTACGCCGTTTAGGAATAAGGAAGATCCAATTAATCTGAGTTAAAAGAAAATTTTTTAACAGTTCCATAGGATCCACATGTTCTAATGTTTTTATCCCTAAAAGTGGCCAAACTGTTTTTGAGGCAAAGCATTTGTCGGCTCTTAAGGAAAATTGCCAATTTGATCTCATCGAAACATCAAAACATGTGATTGGATCCTCTTCAAAAAGTCAGAGTTCAACTTAAACTGACTGAAGTCAAAAGTGAGCTTTTAGCGTGAATGTTTATTATTAGATTTTTCTTTAATTGCTTCAAATTAATAGAAATTTACTTGAAAAAACTGAAATTAGATGTGACCGCATAATGTGCTTGGGCACAGGCAAATACACAGAAATGCCTGCTTAAAATACACAAAAAAACAAAACCAAAAACATAAAGAAAAAAGAACTGTTCGTTATTTCTAGAACTAGATAGCAAGCAAGGAGTGATTGTAATTAACGCTAACGGTAAATGCAAAATGTCAAACAGTGGCAAAAGCAGCAACAGCAACAACAACAGCCCAAGTAACAGTTGTTGTGGTTAAAAGTCAACAAAAGTCGTATGTACGTATGTATGTAAATATGTATATTGAAACTATAACTTTTAGTAACAACAACAACAAGAATTACCATTACTCTATTTCAGCCGGTGTTAAGCAATTATTTTCTTGATATATTTTTTTATACCCACTATGCTGTGCATGCAGGGTACATCGAGTTTGTTCATATAACGCTTACTTGTAAATAGATATGTCGATCGACAAATAGACATGGTTTCAGCAAATGTTAAGTTAAAAGTTTCACCAAGTTGAGAATGTGGATTTTTTCCAAAAGTTTCAAGACGCGCCCATATGGCTGATGTTCTTCCAGTATACATTTTGCTTCTTCGACCGCTTCTAGAGTTGGTGGCATTGTAAAAGACATTTCATTGCTTCTCCATGAAGAAGTTCGAGCAGAAATCGCCCGCTTAAAAAACAACAAAGCGTCTGGAGTTGATGGCCTACCGGCAGAATTATTCAAACATGGCTGTGAAGAGCTTACCAGGTGCATGCATCAGCTAATCTGCAGTATTAATACCAACAACAATGTCAGCCTGGAAATCCAACGTAGAATCACTATTGCCAACAGGTGGTACTTTGGACTGAAAAGGCAAGTACGATGAACGAAAACACTACAAGTCCCTCACCGTCCCACTATATGGTGCGGAATTATTACGATGACAACATCTGATAAGTCGGCGTTAGAAGTTTTCGAGAGAAAGGTTTTGTGTAAATTTACGGTCCTCTACGAGTTAGCAACGGCAAATACCGCAGACGATGGAATAATGAGCTGTATGGCGCTTGTGAAAGCAGAGGAAGAGGAAGACCTACAACCCGTTGGAATGACCAGGTGGAGAAGAACCTGGCTCTACTTGGTATCTCCAATTGGCGCCAAGCAGCGAGAAAAAGGAACGAATAGCGCGATGTTATAAATTCGGCTAAAATCGTGAAAGCGGTGTCTACGCCAGTAAAGAAGAAGAAGAACAAGAGTTAATCGCGTTAATGACTGAAGGCGAGGGTCAGGGCATATCTCTATGAATGGGTAGAAACAATGTGGTAGGGACGATGAAAGGCAGGTCGCAACCGCCTATGAGCTCAGACTGAAAAGAGGGTTAAGAGCATGCAAAGAGTTGGTTAGTGTCGTGTCTGGTCTCACTGCACACACGACATACGTCGGGCATGTCGGGGTCAATTCTTTATTATACAATATGCTTCGGTTTTACTATATATATTACCAATAAAATACCGAAATTTAATCTGAGCCTTAAATAGGCACGGTTTCACTTGAATTTGGTCCTCTCTTACTTATCTCATTTTTTTGTTTTGTTGTTGCTCGGTTCAGTCTTTCATACAAACTTACGTTTCTACAATACATATAAGTATGTGGTTCATTGCGAATGTCATGTACAAGCAGAAAAATGTGTTAATAGACAATAGCTGTGTTAGCTGATGGCTAACAGGCCAAGCAGTAACCACTGCCAACAACAGACAACAACAACAACATGCAACAATAACAAAATCGAATGCTGTTTACATACTTATGTATTTCCGTAATGACTAATGCCGCAATCCTTGCAGCAAATATTTTGCAACTCACACATACATATAAACCCTTAAGTATATGCAAATGATTATTCGTATATGTGTACATACTCGTATATACATTTGTATGTGCATTTGAGGGCATTTACTCGCATATGAATGGATTATTTGCCTCGGAATAACAATTCCAGAAATTCCATTGAAGCACTTCTGCTCTAGCCTGCCTGCTCTCACTATTATGTTGCTGTCAGATAGGCCAAAACGCGCGTGTAGGCAGCAGACGTTCGGATTGACAAGCCGGCACTTGAGTGGCATGAGGTAAGTGCAGCAGTTGATCCTTATGGCAGCCTCTCATTGTGGCTATAGGAAATGCTTGGCCTGTGATTACATTCCACTACAGTGCGGATGCCTACATATATACATATGTAGTTACATAAATACATACATACATACACTTATACATAAGGGTATGTAACATACATGCACACGAAAGTATGTTTGTGATTGCTGTTGTCAGTTAGTTGTGACATTCACTTGTGATTGCCTGTTATAACAAACGAAATTAACAACAGTAACAATAACAACAAATTGCAATGTGCAGTCGTGCGCATAGTGGTTGTTGTGCTGAGTAGTCCTATCCACATCGTATCCACTTTCGCTGTCACTTTCAATTCGGTACGTTCGCCGTCTCTGCCTCGATTTTCTCCATATGAAAAAAATGTCACTCATACGCCGAGGCGTCTGAAATTTTGTATTGTACTAAAAGTACTTACACAAGCAGATATATTTATATGCATATAAGAGGAAGCGTTTCTATGTACGAGGAATACATATTCACCTGCGAGATAGATACATTTTTCAGATCTTTCTCTTGATTTACTTATACTCTCATCGGAAACAGGTAATAATCTCTCGGGACCAGTTTGGGACTGTAGAGTGGGTGATCCAGATAGCAAAGCCCACCTTATGCAGGACGGCCATGTCAACGCGACTCTTGCGGACGGTGCATCATTCTGTTTCTCCCTTCCCAGGTCACTGTGATATCTTTCACTTCTTGGAATGTGCTGGGCCGTTTTTAGATTCTTTATGGAGTCTTCTTTCAACTCACTTTTTTGCTCTATTTCTGACAAGTTTGTTATACTAATTACTTTCTTTCATTTCAGAATCCAACTAATTTTTCGAATGCAGCTAATAGTAATATGAGGTAAGCAAATCCAAACGTTAAATACATTTAGTTTTATTAATTTGTTGCTTAAAAGAGGAGGTTTTAAGAACTTGCCAATAAGCGGCCACACTTAAGCCATGGTTAAGCGAATAGTTGATGATTGGGGCATAATGAAAAATATGACGTTTCAGTCAGCAGAAAGCCAGGCACTTGTGAAGGTAGTATTCCAGGGTTAAGTCTTATTTTGTGGATCCTCTATACTCAACCGATTACATCTTACCTCGTTTTTGTTGCCTACAGGAATACTAAGCTCCCTTTTTCTTAGTGTAAGCTTGGTTTGCTTACAATGCAGACATATAGTAAGCCCTACATTGGAGGCGTACTAAGAGCCTACGGATGCCTTAAGAGCTCACTGCTTCAGACAGAATTTGACGGCGCTGAGAATTCTGAAGCAATCGATGGTGACAGCTTTCAGACAGTTCATTCACCTTCTACACCCGTGTGAAGTTGGAAATGCAGGATGTTTACATTTAATTCTTTTATTGACTTTAACTGCCTCTTGGGTGCCAAGGATAAATTTAATAAAATTACCTATTAAATTATGGACTCATTTTATTTTTGGATTTTGTTGCTGGAAATCGAATTCGTAATACAGCGCATAGTAGAGCGCACTTTTTCAATATTTTTAGTGATATCCTCAGATTATTGACCATTTGGCAAAAGGATCCCTGGATCTTAATCGATCCCCAATAAGCTCCGTATCAATACTGGTTCTTCTTGTGGGATCTAACAGATATTAAGAATTTTATTACTCCATGACTTTTCATAAAATATTATCTGTGGCCTGAAGACTTACTTACTGCAGAAAGTTCTACCGATCGAGTCAAAAAGACGAGTTGTCATGTCCATCCGAAAATATTTCAGACATAAATTTAATTCGTTTCATTTTATATTTTTATTTAATCTAATTTTAAAAATTTTTCTATCTGCTTCCCTTTCATTTTCATTGGCAATAGAAAAAATTTAAATTGCACATTTTCAGCACTATCCAACCTAAAAAACGTACAGTAAATAGCTTAGCTTGCGCACCACTCACCATCCTTTTCAATAGTCAACAGTATATATATACTCGTATTTGCGAATACTTAAAAGTAACGTCGGTTGTGTGCCCTGTTTGTTGTATTTTGTCAATACAATGAAATGATGTCACGAAGCATAGAGAGGAAAGAATAGGCAATCAATGAATGTTTTTAAGCTTAAAATGTTGTCACATACTTACCATTAAACCTATAAACTCATACATTTATACTTACGTACATGTACTTACATACAAGCATAATATGTAATATATAAATACTATACGTATATATGCAACATTACCCTTTTTCGTGAAATTGCTATAAAAGTACATTAATATCTAGTATGTGAGTACACACAGTCCAATTGCTTGTTTACCAGATAACAGGCACATTCCAACTGTTTACACTACTCACTGTTCATATTCCGACTCACTCAGCACTCACCATCCTTTTGAGTGTTTTCAGTTACAGTCATCATGGAATCGACATGAAATTTTAAATAACCCATTTTTGAAACTTGACCATTACAAAATTTTAATTAAAATTCAGCGGTGGTGGTAGCGTCAGCAGCAGCAGTAGCAGTGGGAGCAGTGCTGGCGAGAGTGAAAGAAATGAGGACACTGCAGTAATGGCGGAGATAATTCAAAAGTTTACTCACTTGTATATAGTACATATGTATGTGCATATATATTCGAAAGAAAGAAAAATCTTGTATTAAATTTATATGTATGTACAAATATTAAATACAGTTACCGCAGAAACACGGTTAAATGTTGGTTTTTTGTGATATACAAATAAATAAATGATTACTACATAGGCATTTTGAGGGCTTGACTTTTAGGGGCTATTTTTTAAAAAATAAGGAGCTTTTGATATGCCTTTAGTTGAAGGAGACTGGTATATTAATAAGCTCGAATGAAATTTGCAAAAAATTGAATTCTTTTAGAAAAAATATTACGCAAAGTTTTATCAACATTTGGAACAGTTGGGAACATTTTCATTTTCCTATAACTATAATCGAGGATTTCAGAATTTTATTAATTTCCATTCGTTATAACAACTAAATATTCATTTGAATTAAACCTATTCTAATAAATATGAAACTAGACTGTATTATTTGAGTTACCTTCTTAATTGGATTTAATTGGTTATAAATTTTGAACGGATGGCAACCCAGCCAAAAACGTGCCTTACAACCAGTTTCGGTATCAGTGTTCTACAAATTCTTGTTATTTAAATGTGAGTTTTTTTTTTTTTAATTTGAGAACAGGTGGTAAGCTTTTTTAGAGTAGTTTTTGAAATTAGTGTTTTTAAGTTGTTCAAACTGAATTCTTTTTTAGTCTAAATTTTACATTTTTACATGACTTTTCCCTCTTTAATTTTATTAAAAAGTTTAAGCGGGTGGCAACCTTCTTAAAGATAAATTACCACGTGAAGTATGCTTAAACTTTCTCAGTTTTATATGCACATTGTGAAGTTCGTTTACCATTTTTATCTTATTGAACTAAAATATTTGAACAGGTGGCAGCACTCGTCAGAAAAAATGACAATATTCCGACTTTATGAGTGCAACCCTTATTATCGTCTTATTATATAATAGTAAAGCTTTCATGATCTTGACAATTTGATTTCAGTGAGAGTTTTAAAAGCGTGGTAACCTACTTTTGGAATATATACTACTACAGTTTCCTTAAACATCTTTAGATTGATATCGACTTCTTGAACAATTTATTTGCGTCTTTTGAGTTTTTAATTGAAATTTTAGAACAGGTGGCACCTTTTGTCGGTAATTTTAACACGTTCTTGACTTCTTAAAACCATCCAAAGGGTGACAATCCCAATTAAAGTATTTTTTCCTACACTCTATTCATTTTACTACGCATTTTCAAAAAAACAACCGTGTTTTCAAGTGTATTGAATTAAATCAGGTGGCAACCATTCATATAAGTATTTACAATTCTAAGCCACCTCTGAGTACCTTGAGTATGATCTAAAAATATAATGAATTTGCTGTAACGAACGGTATATTTTCAGGGGCATGGAAACTGGTTTTGCGGAACAATTAGTTGAAGTTTCGGTAGGAAAATTGTCACTCTGCTTTCCTACTCTTCATCTCAGTTCATAAATCTTAACTACATACAAATTTCCAGAAACCAATCAATATAGTGCATAATTAAAAATATCAAAATATGTACTAAATCAAAGTTTTGAAGGTAAGAAAAATAGCAAAAGAAATTGAAAACAGAAGACACTTTTTCCTTCTTCTTTTTCCACTTCCTACTGAACTTGTGTGGCGACGACATCAATAAATATTGTGTATGACAAAAATAAAAATCACGACTCTGTGGCGGCATGTTAGAAATATTATACATAGATATGTAATAACATACCTATATGCAAACATACAAACATACAACCATAGAGCTAAAAATGGCAAAAAAATTAACAATAAAACAGTGAGCCGGCCAAAGTTTGCAACGGCGACAGGGCGACTGTCGCTGCATTGCCTGAAGTTCATGGTTCACGGCTTATACATATGTGTGCGAGTATTAGCTCAGTGTTTGTGTCGAATAAGTATACTCGTATGGTAGGGATTTGTGTAGGCGAAATGCCAGCAAAGGCAAACAAAACCATTTTCGTATATTTTGTTTTATTAAAAACCGAACAAACCAAGCAACAAACCAATTGAAGACATACATACATACAAACATCGCATACAAGCATATGTGAACCATCTGCTAGCCAGTTGAGGGAATGCTAAACGTAAAATAACAACAACTACAAAAGATTTGAGCAAGAGCCAAAAAAAAAAACGAATTTACAACGATTTAATTTTTTCCAGCGAAAATAAAGGCAAAAAACATTTGAAGCTGAAAAAATGAAAAAAATTCTGCAAAATTAAAAGAGAACAAAAATCGATACAAATGCAAAAGCGCTAATACAACAATACCTATGTTTTTTTATTTACAGCGAAAGTACAAACAAAATTTTGTTTGTTACGGTCTTGAGCAAAAAAGGCAAATTGTTTGGCCAAAATAACTTAACAAAACGATTGCTTACTTGAAAACTTGCCAATTTCATTTCCATTCCGCTGATACATACATACCTACATAATTGTTTGTGTTGCAACGCCCTGGCCAAAATTCGCTCATGTTTTCAGCTCGAGCAACGCCAAAAGTGAAAAAAAACTGCAAACTTGCGATTTTTTCTTTTATACTTTCCCTTTCCCTTTCGCCTTCACCTGCCGGTAACGGATGCGGGTATTTATTGATTGCCGCTTAAGTGAGTGAGTACATGGGCTTATTTACTACTACCTTTATATGTGTATTGCAAAGGGTGATGTTGTTAGACATGAGGTTTTCATTTTATGGCTAAGAGTTTAACTTTATTATAAAGAAAAGGGTTTGTCATTAAGTTGAAGAAATGATTTTGTGTTGGCTCGAATAAATTTCAACAGAGAGCCCCAATTTTCCACCCCTTTTCTCAGCAGTTAGAGCTGCAATAATGTCTGTGGGCGCGAAATAATGTCCACACTAAAAGTTTCTTTCAATAAAATTATTGTTACGTTGGCCATCTTAATGGAACCAAGGAATATTCATATCAAAATTCCACCATTCAGGCACTTTTATTAACGTACCTATTCAACCAAAAGTGAACTTCATCACTAAACAAAATTTTCTTGTGGAAATGGGGTTCGTTGGCCATGACGTTTTTGTCCCATTCATAGAAGTTGCGATCATGCGGTTTTAATTCACGTAAGATTCTGTATACTCCGCAAGATCTTCCATAAAGTGGATAGGCACTAGTATAGGCACACGGTGCGAAACTGAACCAACGTTACTCGATTTAGGGCTTCTGCTGGGTGTTTTTATCGACCTATTCTTGGACGAAGCGTTAATTTTTTTTTTATAATTTTAATGATGTCAAAAACACCAACTGCGAAAAAAATATTCCCTCAGC